TCTACATAAGAAAATCAAATAATTTCAGTATCTTTCGCACTTTAAGCCAAACGATTAATGAAAACTAAATGAATATTGAATAGTAATATAATTTTTATTGTGTAAAATTTTAGAATTCAATTACACTTAATGAATAAAGACATTTGTTACATATATTTATACATGTTTCAATTAAACTCAAATGGTTTCAAGTTAGCTTGGTTGATTTATCTTGTCATTCTAATTTTGTTTCCATGTAACTCGAATTTCAAATGATGACGACTTTCTTCAACTATATTCATTATTAAACTCTTATTTAAAGCTTTTGAAATCCATATATTAACTATTCCAAATTAGTTTTCGATACATTGATCTTTATGAGAAACTGTCTAACCTTCTTTTCAATAAGTTATTAAGGAAGTGAACTTTCGAATTAATCTTTACTTCCATTACATATTCAATTGATTGATGATAATTATTCAACTTAACCAGGGTGACAATGAAGTTACTTTTCTCGTTACACAATGTCTATATTATTCCATATATCTTATATACAAATGGAAATTGTCGATCATTGGTTGAAGTAAAATGTTCTCTAAATTGTCTATTTAACTGTTATTTAGAAGATGAACCAGTAGTGAACCTACCGCTACATCATCAATGTGTTTATATAACTTATTATCATATTCTAAATATATTTTGGGTGTAATTCCTTCGATTGAGATCATGAATCGATCGATGTTAGATGTAATTTTCTTTAGATAGTTTTCAGAAGACCAATTATTGTAGAATAATATTCAAATTATCACTTATCATGGACACCTACACTGAAGATGTAAAAAAAGAACCAATAATGGAACAATAAGGAAAAAGCATTGAAAGAAGTGATTAAAAAGAAGTAAACTATAAGTCAAATATAAATAAAATCTAAAGTGTTTTTCTTCACTATTGTTATAACAACACAAATAACAACAATAATAACTGACTAGTAATAATGATATCAAATGTCTAAAATTAATCAAAACATTAAACACCTCCAATTTAGAAACAAACTTTCCAACATGTACCCTATTTTAACAATTTACAAACTCTTGTAAATACTGAATAGTAAAAAAAACAATTTAAGGACATAATTACAATTTCTTTTTGTCTGAAGAATATTCATAAATGTTTATTTATAACATTTGGACATAATTGTTTAAATATGCTTGAGTAAAAATATTGTATAATTCAGTATAAAATAGGAATTTAATAATTGAATTCATGAGCCAATTAAAGCTAGACGATCATGGAGAACATAGAAGCACTGGACGGCCGATTCGTTCTAGTATGAAACTACTCAGAAGTGCGTGTCCACGATCGAACACACAAGATTTGAACTCAGGACTTATAGGTCTTGCACGCGAACGCTCATCAATTCAACCATTAAATTACTAAAATCTCCACAAATCCCCTTATGACAGTCATCGTCATCTGCTCACTAGTGACTGACTTCAAGAGGTATTTCCTGGAGTTCTAGTGGGAAGCAGTGACCAGTGGAGTTCAACCGGATCTGTTTTGAGATAGTAACTTACTGAAGACAATGGTGGATGGTGGCGCAACTTCGTGGATTGGTTAAATTTAGACATTGGATTCCGGCTCACTGGTTTAGAGGTTAAGAGTTCACGCACGAGACTGATAGGTTCTGGGTTTAAATCTCGCGAGGGGAATCCGTGGATGCGCACTGCTGAGGAGTCTCACAATAGGACAAAACGGCCGTCCAGTGCTTCCAGGTTCTTCATGGTGGTCTAGCTTTAATTGACTCATGAATTCAACCATTAAATCACAAAAATCTCCATATAATCCCCTACTGAAAATAGGAATTATTTATAACGTCATTACTCTCATATATGAATATGTCTTATGATTTATTAGTTTTAAGGTGTTTCATCATAATGATACTTATTAGAATTAGTAGTACAGAGTTTATTGATAATATATACCAAAAAAATCATATGGTTGATGGTACTAAATATGTTATGCATCATTATTCAATTTATATTTCACTTCTCATAAAGTGTTTATCTATTTATGATTTAAATTACAAATATTTATAGATAAACGTCTAATCGTAAGTATTAATAATCAACTATAAAATTTAACATAGAAAGTAAATAAATAAATACTTACAAGTATGTGAAAAAAAATTTGATCGATGATCTAGAAATAAGTATCCTTTACAATTATGTTACCTTGTGTTAGCTAGAGTAAGAATTTAATAGTTGAATTCATGAGCCAATTAAAGGTAGACCACCTTGAGTAGCCTGGAAGCACTTGATGGCCGCTTCATCCTAGTATGGAACTCCTCAGCAGTGCATAATCCACTATCTCGTCCAGTGAGATTCGAACCCAGGACTTATCAGTCTGACACGTGAGAGCTTAACCTCTAGATCAATGAGTCGGTGTTACGGTGTTACAGTGGATTCTTTTTTGATTTTTATTTGTTACCTTAAATTTATACATTAATTATGAAATTGTAAATCCTGTTGATTAATTTTGTCTTATTTATCTGTAACATTATTAGAATGAGTTTCAAACTGTCCTGTTATTTATGTTTGGTATTGAATTTTGATTAGCTATTGTTGGAATATATGTATCTTATGTGGATCGCCTTAATTTCACAAGTTTCATATGATTAAATATTAGTCACAGGATGATTTAAACACTTTAGTAACAATAATAATAATAATTTAAATATATCCTTTGAACAAGTTGGTGAATATCTGAACTTATTAGTACAGTGAATAATGGGTTGGTGTTTGTAGTGAATCCTAATGTGAACATCAATACAAGGATGCAGATAAATGTATCTGACGTGTGCCAAATAGGAAGAAACATTCCTTTTAGGTTTTGCTGCTAACAGTCTATGTATTCTATGAAGTGCATGCTTGTTTTCCAGGTGATTAAGCTAAGAGAAGAGCTTTTCTTTGATAAACCATAGAAGAAATAATCTATTTCAATGAAACATACAAAACTAAGAAGTCCGATCGTTTAAGACAAACACCAAAGGAAAACGCTAAAGGTGATTAATTCATCATTAACTTTCTTAGCGAAGTATGTGCAAATAGGGTTGTTTCTTAATCTGTTCCTCATATGATCATTGATGTCCCCTTACTATGATTAATTGCATAAATTCTAAGAAATGTACCTAACATATTCTCCAGGTCTGGTTTTACGATTAAGTACCGTGTTGATGTCAATAAAATCTCAATGACAATGTTTTACCGATAATAAAATTTGTACGAATAAGATGCATTATCTTTTGATGTGAACTACCTAACAGTGAATTCTCCTCATAATTTTTAATAGTATCAAGTAGTAGAAAACTTTTCAATGGCACGTTATGGTTTATTGAGTGATTACATCACCAAGTGATCATCAACACTTTGGTCAATGCTGTCTGTCATTTCCTTTCAAATTAGTTAAAAGGAAAAATCTTTTATCTGATAAGTTTTATCAGTGAAGAAAATTTATGGATAGGAAAATTGCGTCATCATAATCTTGGTGGATGATAATGAATAATATCATAGATGGTCATAATCGGATTAGTCAACAAATTTTTTTAATCAAACAAAACTTCAGTCATTACCAACTAGTTAAATGATAATACCTGGTTTAACCAATTCCCTTTTAACTAATCATAAATTATGGAATAAGATAGTAGTTGGAGGTGGTCAACAAAAAACCCTGAACCTAAGTTTCGTGTTACTTGACACTCGTCAGCAAGGTGTACCTGTAATCTTAAGAGGACTGTTGCTCCCTGATGGATTCGATCCCGTGTCGATAGGACTCGATTTGCGCTAAGAAGGACCTGACATATATAACATTGACCACCACCCAGTGATCAATCAATTGTAAATACATCTCAGTCCTACTGGGGACCGGTCGCGGCACGGATAGCTCATCGGTAACATCTCTGACTGTGAAGCTGAGTGACACGGGATCCAATCCGTCAGGCGCATCAGTTCCCTCAAGATTACAGGCACACCTTGCTAGCGAGTGCCAAGTAGCGTGAAACTAAGGTCCATGGTTTCCTGTTGACTACCTCCAACCACCATCTTATCTCAACATAGCGCACGCAATATCGAGTCACCTAGACAAGTGGCCACATTGTAACTTAGCCGATAGCATTTGATTCGCACTAAGAAGGACCTGACATACATGACATTGATCACCACCAGTAATCAATCAATTGTAAATTGTGGAATTTACAAGAATTATTTTTTTATATGAACTGGGAATTGTAAGAGATGTAAGAGAATAAGTGAAAACATAGAGACCACAAATTTGTAATTTATTATTGCTCAAAGATATAGGGTAAACTGACAGAACGCTTATTAATATTACTATGTTAAATTGTTTCGAAAAATCATCACATAAGTATTTATGGATTAAAAAATATATTGGAAATGGTAATCAGTAATACATAACTGTATTATAGTAATTTAACCTTTTCATTAAAAGTTCTACCTTCATTTATTACGAAATGTTACGAAATTGTAAATTAACATTAAAAACAATAACTGAAATTATTCGGTAGCTCTTAAATACAATTCTCGGTATAAAAATTATGTTTAATGAATTTCTTTTCCTACTTCATAACAAAACCATCAACATGTGAATGTATGGCTCGAAATAAAATCATTAATACTAATCATGCTACTTATATAGTTAACCTCTGTCGACCACACTCGTTCACTGGATCTCCGACGATTAATGTCATAATGAGTCACTAGTAAGCCCATGATTATTATAAAGACGGGGAGTTTGTGGGGATCATTCGATAAATATCTATTTTCTCTTTTTTACTTATATCACTTAGAGAGCCAATAGAAACTAGGTTGTACCATATAACCGTTTTTCAATGAAACTTAAATTCTTTACTTTGTACAACTTATTTAAATGTCATTGAAGTGTTCTTCGAAATGTCTTAATTAGATTAGTTAAAATTCATAGTTCCTTCTCTTTTTTTTAACTTCCAGTTTTCCAATTGTTACCACATTACAACTTCAACAGAATGATCCAGAACTAGAAGCTGACAAAAAGTTCATTATGAGGTTAGTTGATTCTCCTATTACTGTCCGTTTTTTACTTCATTCAATTTAAAATTCTCAAGTTTAGTCCCATTCTCAACAAGCTTGGATTAACTTTTTATTTATTATTAGTCAATATGATTTTGATCATATGTTGTATGAAAAGACAAAGAACAAACAAACACTAGTATAATGCAATATGAAAAGTAATTAAAGCATTCAAATTATAATTGTTATCAATTCAAATTCAATTATAAATAACGTTGTTTATTACTCTATTCACTGATAATTTAATTACAAATTACACTGATATATTTTTAATTACCTTATTATTCCGACGCCAGACTGACCTTGGAAGTGTCCACCTAATAACCAAAACTAAATGAGGGTTATAAACCTGTGTGAGGAATTAAAATTATGATTTACAGTTGATGATTAAGGTTAGAAATTAGATTTAGGGTTTTCATCACAAACTGACACCAGCTATACTGCCTAAACTCTATTTATTCGAATGAATGAGTGAATTTCGAGTCAAAATCCGAGACCTTTTATCTTATACGTGATTGGTTCGTCCATTAATTATAATCTCGCCTCGACTTACACTGAAGATGTTACATGATTTCATAAGATGATTAGAAGTACTTGAAACAAGAGACAGAGACATATAATTATTTATTTAAAGAAATGATTTATTTAAACTTCGGTTAACATAATTAAACAATCTTATTTTAAAGAATTATTAAAAATCAATGGGCTATTCGACAACAAATGAATGGTTCCTAGATAGACCCAATTGTAATAATCTATTTTTGAGGGGGATAAATTTTAAATTGCGAATTGCATTATTAATTTTAGTTTCTAGAATAAAAAATATTGAACTTTCGTGGAAATCTTTGATCTGATCCCAGGATTATTTTGTACAGAGTTCTCTCTATAGATTTATTGATCTAGAGTTATAATTCATTTATATGGTGCTAATATATTAGCTATTATATTATGTGGGAAAAACATTTTTGTCATGGTAATATCACTAGAACACATCAGGATTTTATTAATAGTTTCAAATAACAATTAGACGAAAAAGGTTCATTAATACAATTCTAATATTCAAAGAATTTGATTGTATTAAATGACTATGCATAAACCTATAGGTCACCTATTTTTAACTGTATAAATATTGCAATCAACCTTCGTGTTTGGGATTCATCTTAACCAAATAATTGTCATCTCTAACTGTATATATCCCCGCTAATATCTTCTTCCTCCGCTCCTAATCTTTTAAAAAGAAAATGAGCAACAAATACCATGAAATTAATTCATCTTTGGTTCAGTAGATGGTAAAAGAAATGGTTATTACATCTGAATCGTTATGTAATTCTTTTGTGATTGTACATGGATGACAATACTGACTAGTTAAAACATTTTGAAAATCTGTCTTTAAATAATTTTTTAAAAAATTTAATCCATGATAGACAGAAATCTGTTGAGATTAGATGGTGGTTGGAAGTAGTCGACCGGAAACCCTGGATTCGGGTTTCGTGTTACTTGGCACATGGTCGAAAGCATTCGATCTGCATTAAATAAGCACTTGACACACATGACATTGATGATCGCCCAGTGATCAATCAATTGTGACAGAAATCTGTCCTAATATTGCACAATTGGTCTTGATAATTCCTTATTCCATTAAAAATTACGCCATTAAACAAGGGATTATTATTATTATTAATACTACCATAATTATTGGTTTCTAGTATCAAAGTCATTGTTTATTTAATTAATATTAATTAATAATGAAAATATAATTCAAATTATTATCTTATAATATTCACAACGTATTGTTTAAATGTACAGTTTCCTTGAATTAATTTTTCCTCTATATTGGACATTAATATTGTTTTCTTTTGTAGTCATCCACTTTATCCTTTATTGGCTTTATTATTACAACAATGTGAATTGGCTACAGCTAGACCTGATTCACCGCCTCCATTAGATACTTTTAATACAGAATTAATTTCATACATTCAACGTCGAATAGAATTACAACAACAACAACAACCAGAAAGAGATCATAATGATGAAGATGAAATGAATGAATTAAAATCGAATTCATTAAAATTAAATCGTGAAAAATTAAATAAAAATAATGAAAAATATAAAAGTACAGAAGATATAATCAATATGAATGATAATAGTAATACTGTAAAAACTACTATTTCTTCGAAATATAATACAAATCACTCATTAACTAATCAAATTTCAACAACTACTATAACAAATACAATAACACAAACTACTAATGCTATCTCATCTATCAATACTACTAATAAAACTAATTCAGTAGCAAATGTACGAAATATTAGTGATTGTTTTTTATCTAATAATAATAATGTAAATAATGATATATCTACAAATTTTGTATATAATAATAATAATGATAATAGAAATCGTAAATCATTAAGATGTGATAAATCAATGGATCATAAAAATAATTCAAGTTACGTAACAAATAATGATGTTGATGATCCTGATACTGATGATGAATTAAGAAAATTGAATTGTACATTTAATGATGAAAGAAGATTTCAATTTTTAAGTAATAATACTGAATTAAATGAATTAGTAAGTTATCAATAATGTTTGATTAAAGTATAATTCAATTTCATTTTCTAAATTCAATCCACTATATGTTTTAATCATTGAATAGTTTACTTGAGAATCAATCAATAAAAATCATTTCAATAGTTGAATTCATGCGCTCATTAAAGTTAGATCACCTTGGAGAACCTGGAAGCAATCGATGGCCGCTTCATCCTAGTGTGGAACTCCTCAGCAGTGCATAATCCACTATCTCGTTCGGTGAGATTCGAACCCAGGATCTATCAGTCTCGCGCGCAAGCGCTCAACCACTAGACTATTGAGATGGTATCCAATGGTGTTAACGTCTAACTTCAACTAATCCATGAAATTGAGCGACACACCCACCATTGTCTTCAGTGAGTTACTATTCCACAACAGACCTGGTTGAAGTCCACTAGTTACAGCATTTCACCAGAACTCTAGGAAATACCTCTTGAAGCCAGTTAGTAGTGAGCATATGCTGATTAGTATCAGAAAAAAATCAGTTCATGTTTATTAATTTACATATTTGAGTGACAATAATGATAGTAAACGTGTCAGACCTTAGAAACTTATGCTTTCAAATTGAGTCAGGTTATAATACAAGTAATTATGTATTTCTTTTGTGCTATCATACAATATAATGAGTCGACAAATTTCCAGGGAAACTTTTTTCAGTCCTTAATGAAAGATATTGAGATTTACATGGAATCTCTTATTTATCTCTTCAATAAATGTTTTATGATTCAAACATTTCAACAACTTGTTGGGACCATTTCTTCACTGAACTAGTTTAACTGGGAGCTAATATTACATATGAGACTTAGACTGACGATAATAAGCTTAAAAGTTTGACGTGTTTCCACTAAGATACATAGTGTGCAACGTACTTCAGGCAGAACTGAATGTTGACTAGTCTTTGAGACTAATATAACTATGAAGAAGAAGATTCGGTTTACATGTAATGAATCAGTTACCTTGTTGGCAAGTGCTAGGTAAAATGAAACTTGCGTCCAAGTTCTCTCAACAAGTTCCCACAACTACCTAATGCACATATACACAATTGGTTTAATCGGTGTTATAATAATGTATGTATGTTGACAACAAGCTCATATGAGATTTAAAAATTTCCCAAGAAATAGTAAAATTTTCCAAACTGTAGATATTTAGATATAATTTATAATTATGTATATAAACAATTATGATAAGAGTAAAAGCAAAATTAGTTAACAAACAGTTTAAATCTAAACCTAAAGTGATGTAATAAACCAAAGTTGTATGTTCACAGCTCATGATAGCACTCTAATTGTGGTTCGTTCATTCTAATCCACACATCCCCTCTGCATGAATAAGTCAATATACTAGGGAGTGCTATCACTGAGGCGTCCCACAATAGAACGGAATGGTCGTCCAGTGCTTCCAAGTTTTCCAAGGTGGTCTAGCTTCAACTGACTCATGATCCCAACTATTGAAATTACTATAATATCGATAAAACTCCTTTTGATATTAATGGGTTTATCTTGTTTTTGGGATGTATCTAATTAAACCATATTGAATATGTGAAATTCTATTCAAATTATTTCATTCATATTTATATTGTTGGTTAGAGCAGATGTTTGTGGTTTATGTTTATTTAGTTTTGTTGTATCATAGAAATAATGACAATATTATCACAGATATATCAAACTTGAGTTACAATTAAACACATATGAAATCTACTACACACTAATTCAATGGTTTTAATAAATCAAATGAATTTAAACTGTAAATCTCATCTGATTTCCACTATGTGAACAAAAGATAAGTTAATACTCCAGGGTTTCATTTATTATTAACTGTAAAGCCAACTAGATACTTTGGGTAAATAATTTTAACAAAACAATCAATAGTATAACGTATAAGAAACTCAATAATCAAATCTCAAATGAAGAAGTATCATTATTTAGGATTTGACTATGTGGTAATTTGTTAAAAATCCAGTCACTGTTTAAATCCCTAAAGTTATCTTAGGAGTGCTGATTATTGGGGAGTTTTAAATTAAGAATAAATAGTATTATCTGATGGCTGAATTTATCCACGTTTTTCTGTTCACTGTGTCGTATCTAATACTTTAGATCATCTTTCCATTTATTTAATGGATAAATTTAAAACATCAAATTGTAATTTTTGCAAAAGATTTTATATCAAGCCCTAAACTTTACTATATTTGTGTTTTTTTTAACCTTCCATATTGGTCCATTATACAATCTTTATGTACACAGTAGATAGTTCAAGATAACAGCAATCACTTGAAATGAAGTCATTAATAAAAATCACCAATAGCATTAACCTAATATGGGAATGGAAACATAGCCGAAAGTACGATACAATTAGTGAACATTAGAATGTTGCCGACAATTTCAACCCTATCTCTTTCCTTGAAGTACTCAAGCTGTCTATCAGTACAAGAAGAAAATGAGTCTTAGTCCGACTGACTTTTCATAGACCAACTGTATGAACAAATAAATGATGTTTGATGAACACTACTTCTCTAATATATATTAATCAAGTATTGACTGCTTGGTTTGCTAAATATCCATTTACAATGTGAAGTGTAAGATATATTTCCTCAATAAGGTTAGAATATTGTATTATGTAATACATAACTCTATAAGCAATTAAAACGATAAATTACAATCTTAGAATAGATAGATATAAATCTAAACCAGAAAGTATGTATATAACACTGTCAGATCATTTTACTTCGGTCAATGAAAATAATAAAATATTTTAGATTTTTAAAACCATCATTAGTTTACATATTACATAAAAAATTCGAACTTTCTGTTTCTACGTCCCATAATGAGTACTCTTAAGTTAAGGGTCAAACTGTTCAGTCGTTTACTGACGTAATCAAAGAGTAGTTCTAATATAATAAGCTATCAGAATATAGTTTTTGATTAAAAATCCAGCTTAGTTCATCTTTTTGCATTAAATAATTGTTGAAGTATCCATTATTATCCTATTTAGTCGTTTAGTGAGTTCATGTTTTTTTTCAAATGATTTACAATCAGTTGATGATTAATCACTGGAAGGCTAGAAATGGTGACAACCATATTTTAAGACAGTTACTCAACAGAAACGTACCAACGGATGGAATCTAATGTTATTAGTTTATTTTCAGGATATGATCGGATATCTATATTTAACCAATCTTGACCTAAGAAATGGTAATACATTAGCATATATAGGCTTCTACTGCCTGCTTTTGTATTTCTTTCTTCATCTATGCTTTCTTCGTTTCCTATACATAATTCATTTACCTTAATTATAATGACGCAGAAATTATAGCAAACAGTCAAATTAGCGTTCAAATGGGAAAATGTGTATTCAGACTTCAATGACAATGACCTGTATGTTATCCATGATTGTTGAGTGCTTAGACATCATGTAACCACTGATAATTCAACTAAAACACCAAATTAACTAAGTACAATTAATATCTTTTTATGTATATTTCATTTCGATATTCTAATGGAGAATATGAAATAAAGGATTCGTTTTGAAATACTAACACTACTGGAAGTACATGAAAAGTATGGAATCAAACTGTTCCTTTTCAAGTTGTTTACCATCTAGAAAACGTTATCACTGAAAATAGAAAAACATAGGCTTCTTTCGTCAATAAATTCACGCAATCTTGTGATTCACCTACAGAGTTGTAGTATAGCAGTTAAAGTACTTGACTAACAACTATAAAGTTGGAGGTCTCAAATAGCCTTCACGTATATCCGTTTAGTTATACCCTCATTAAAACTCTTGACTCAATTTGAATATATAAACACATAACTACCAAATTCCGTTCTTTAGTTCATCTACCGATAAAATTTCATCCTAAAAGATTTCTTCAGTAACCTTCATACATAAGTAGTAAGATCAAATATCTTATTATCTTCGATATATTTTTAAAAATGGTGTATGCATAAATGAAGTAGATCTAATTAATTGTTGGCCTACTTAGCGAAACCACTGATTCATTAAATGGATTACTAGTTTGACCCTCGAGAAAGTTGGTGAACAGATGGTTTTGTTGTTCAGTAATTTCGGATTCTATTGTTTTTGTGAAAAAAACTGGAAGTACAGGTAATACTCTATATTGACTGGTTATACATGATCACTGAGAGGAAATATACTAATTGCACAGTTTGTGTTTTATATATAATACACGATTATGTAACATGAACTGGATATGTCTAGCCTCCTTGGCACACTTCAACCCTTTACCTTTGAAAAAATTGTTCCTATTAAAACACATATTGTATGTTTACATCATCTATTGATTAAATGATCATAGGTTATTGACAAAATAATTTAATGGAACCTTTAAGTTTTCATTGGGAATGAATAAATAGTTCTCCTGTTTATTAATTCAATACTAATATAATTTAAGCGTGTGCACAGTGATTTACGTAAAGTAAAATATATTGATGAGAACATATATATTTCTAATAAAAAATAATGGTTACTTTAATTTGATAATGTAATAATTGTAGTATAAATGTGTTTTTCACTCTACATTAAGTAAGACCGTAATTAATGGCCTCTATAAAATGCCTTGATTCACAAACATTATAAGAAGAGATGATGATGGCTAGCAATGGAATCTAAAACTCGTGTTTTATCATATTCGTGACTAGTTTTAATTCAGTATCGAAGTGGATAAATCGATAGTGTTTGGAGCGAATAATAGCGGGTTCGAGTCCTGGAGTTTATATAAACTTGGGGATGAAGGTTTATCCAGCTGAAAAGTCTTAAGCAAAATGAGACCCACGTCCTGGATTCTACCGCTAGCTACTATCTATCTTATAATTGTTGATTATTGATATTAGATATCGGTTAACAAGTATAAAAGTGGCTAACTCATCTGCCGTTTATGGATTTAAAAATATCATAAACTGAATGAATCGAAGTTTAAAGTGATATCATTAGTTGAAATCATGAGTCAATTGAAGCTAGACCACCTTGGAAAACCTGGAAGCATTGGACGACCGTTTCGTCCCATTGTGGGACGCCTCAGTAATAGTTGACTTCATTCATGATAATATTAATGTTCATTTTTATGCATTAATTGACAAAAAACGATTTAATCTTACCTAAAAATTGAAATCTGTTCTCATTCAAGTAGTATATTAGTAGTTACTTAAAATTATTCAAATTAACCTACAAACATGAGATATGCCATGATTGAAACTAAAGAAAAATAATCATTTATAAATCTTTATAATATAAAATCGCTTTGTATCGTGTTTTTTCTTGTTAACAAATAGAACGCTATATAGTTCTTAAATGAATCATTAAGGATCTAATTCATAATCGATGTGATTTGAAATACTGTTAATCATAAATTATTATCAGAAGGGGTTTTGTGGAGATTGTAGTAATTTCAATAGTTGGGATCATGAGTTACTTGAAACTAGACCACCATGGAAAACTTGGAAGCACTGGATGGTCTTTTCGTCCTATTGTGGGACTCAGCAGTGCGCATCCACGATCCCGTACCCCTCGATATTCGAACCCATGATCTATCAGTCTCGTGCGCAAGCGCTTAACCATTGAACCACTGAGCCGGCGTCAAGCGTGTTAATGTCGAACTTCAACCAATCCACGAAGTTGTGCCACCGCACACCATTGTCTTCAGTGAGTTCATATCTCTCACCATAGACCTGGTTGAACTCCACTGGTAAAGGATTCTCACTAGAATTCCAGGAAATGCCTCTTGAATCCCAAGGGGTGTGGGAGTCCCATAATAGGACGAACCGCCCGTCCAGTGCTTCCAGGTTTTCCATAGTCGTCTAGTTTCAATTGACACATGATCTCAACTATTGAAATTATAAATTATGTTTAATAATACAATATACTTCATTATATAATTTACTTTTCAATTTAATTCATTTTAATAGATCGTCAAAGCTATACAAGTATTACGAATACATTTATTGGAATTACATAAAGTAAATGAATTATGTAAAGATTTCTGTTCCCGGTATATTTACAGTTTAAAATCAAAATTTCAATCAGATCCACTTATTCATGGTAAGTAACATTTAAAATAAAATAAATAATGTTCAATTTGATTGTTATAATAAAAAAAGTGGAAAATATCAATTCTGTTAGGATTTCATAGTTTTGAACGAATAGTCTTGTCAAATTTCTACTGTTGTTATGAAGGTAAAATTAACTGTTTCATTATTTAACAAAAATAATACGTTTTATTCTGAAAGGCTGTTAACTGTGAACACAAGTCAACGTTAACAGATATCTAAGGAACACTGTTCGTATTAATCTATAGAGTCACTGATTGTTGAGCTAAGCTGTGTGCAGAGGTTCAAATTATCTTGGTCACTTCAACAGTACTCACCCAGGAATCAAATCCAGGACATAAAGGTTCAAAGGTGAACGGCTGATCACTAGAACCATTCGGCTGGTCGCCAGTAGTAAAATTTCTACTTCAATCTATTCTGTAATATAGTATAACGATCATCCAAGACTACTGATACTTATTGTTTCACTTCCGATATATCTGAACTCCAATAGTCACAACTATGATGAACATAACCTACAGGTTATATCAATCTCTACAAAACTCCTTCAAGTATTCACCTAATTGTTTGGAAATCAATCAACTTGAAACTTATCACAAATCTAATTGAATCGTATCTATATCATTTTTTTAAATAATGAGTTCATCTGTATCGAATTTTATAAATGTGTACTGATTGACAAGTTCTGAACATTTATCGCATACATTTGTGTTATAATAGAAACCGGGAAATGACTTACAAAGTTTCTAATTATCCTTCCGCCATGCAGATAAATGTAACCATTCTGAATTAATATGTCTAGTCTTGAAAATCAATTATTAAGGATTCTGTAGGTAGGTTTCTAAGTCAATATTGATAATGTAACTTCCTTTTGAACAAATTAAGTTTTGGTTACTCCCTTTCATTTATTTTTTTTGTTTTTGTGTTGTCTCCCCTGATTCTCGACTAGTTTACTGCCTTCATATTTATTATCAATTCATTCGAAATTTACGCGAACATGATAACTTGAGTTAATTTACCGTAATAGTTGGTTGAATGCAATCATTTACAAGTTCAACACAAGTTTCATGCTAGTTGAGGCTTTTCAGTAAGACTTCCTAGTAATATTGAGAAACTCGATAATCAGCAGAGATTTAGATCCATATAAACAATTATGACGGTCAAAAGCATTATCATTGAGCTAATCGATTTTAAGTGTCTGTACTAATTGATCACTTAAAAGTACTGAATGTTATAATTAGTCATAAGTGATGATCAAATTCTGCTTTCTACATTTTAATATACCCAATAAATTCAGAAGCTTAAGACTGATTGTTAATAGCTTGTTTTCATACTTAATGCTTAGACGTAAACTCCACAAAATTCTTTAATTAGATTATCTTTTATAATATGTAATTATTATCAGAATAGGTTTTATGGAGATTGTAGTAATTTCAATAGTTGAGATCATGAGTTAATTGAAACTAGACCACCATGGAAAACGTGGAAGCACTGGACGGTCGTTTCGTCCTATTTTGGGACTCCTCAGTAGTGTGCATCTACGATCCCGCCCCTGCGAGATTCGAACCCAGGGCCTATCAGTCCCGCGCCAGGCGCTTAACCAACTAGACTACTGAACCGGCATCCAATGTGTTAATGTCTAACTTCAACCAATCCACGAAGTTGCGCCACCCTACACCATTGTCTTCAGTGAGTTACTATTTCACCACAGACCTGGTTGAACTCCACTGGTAAAGGATTCCTACTAGAACTCCAGGAGTATCTCCTGATGTCAGTCACTAGTGAGCGGGTGCTTCCAGGTTTTCCATGGTGGTCTAGCTTCAATTGACTCGTAATTTCAACTAGTGATAGGTGATTATTATCAACAATATATATTCATTCTATAAACTCTGTGTTATTTCAATCATTTAATAATTATACTAATAGTAGACAAACAAAAACAAATCTTCTACTACACATATTGTTTCATTCAAACACCTTTCGGTTACTTTTTGTTTCTATCTGTCACGTTAACTTGAGTGAAATTATTGACTGAACAGTATTAACATGTTATTATTTCCTGTGAACAACTTTCTCAACAAATTGAATATTAAAAAAAAAAACAATGAAAGGAATCAAAATCAATGTAAAGTTACCTACAACTCTTTTTTGACTAAATTGTACTTGATACATACGTATCATGGATTCATTTATACAAGTAATATTAGTATTATTATTATCATTATGAATTTATTCCGATTGATTATCCTGTTGTTTTGTTTTATATAGAAAACAAAAAATGATTATCATTTCTATTATTTAAAATAAACTAAAATAAAGTTACATTTATTCTTTAGAATTTCTCGATATTTTTTTAGAAAAGAAAAAAAGAAAGTTTTCATGTGGGTACACATAGATAATTTAGTTGTCCAAATTAATTTAAGTGAAGTGGAAGCTACTACTATTACCATTATTGTTATTATTATTATTATTAGTAGTAATAATAATAATAATAATAGTAATGGTAATGGTAATGATAATAGCTATTCTTTTCTGAGAAGCGAACGCCGACACGTATTCACTTATATTCTTCGTCTATATGTCTAACTAAATATGTCTCTCTCTATATGTGTCATAATTTTTAACTCACACTTTTGAATGTCTTTATTTCATGTTTGAAATAGTATTTATTTCCGCCATCACTTTCATATAATATTAGATTATTATTTTATATTTTTTAATTTTTTACTATATTCATATTGATGTTGTTGTTCGTGATGGTGGCACTGGTACTATAGTAGATTTGAGGGAGGGCCATGAAAAAAAATAGATAAATAGACGATTGAATATATGGATGGATGGACGGACGAAAGAAGTTGACTAACTGACTGACTGAGTGACTGTTTAGCTGAATAACTGGATGAATATAATGTACTAAATCGACTGGGCGGACAAAATAGAAAACGGAAGCCGATTTCACAACGAGGACAAGAACTTAACTATAGACAAAAGTATTATCATCATTATTATTGCCACTATTATTATACTGATAAATACTAATATTAGCAACATATGGACTAGTAGCCTGTTTCCATGACATTTTTCTTTTCCGGCTTTTTTTTCTTTTAATATGTCATCAAGCATATAAACTTTAATTCTTATTAAAAACGAAAACACATAATTGTAAACTACTGGATGAAAAATCCGATTATGCATAGGAAATCACTGATCAATAATAACCTAATCAATAAGAAAAGGTAAATCATAAGCTTAAGTGTTCTATAAATATTAACAGTTTATGGAATTAGAGAAGTGGTGTTTCGTTCCTTAATCATCGACCTTCGTCAATCTTTTCGAGGAAATCAATATTCGCTCCAAATTTTACTAAATTATTTGAACTAAAACACTGAATATGACTTACTGGTTTGTCTTAAGCAGGAAAGTAGAAGTTCAAAATTTTATTACCAGACCTGATTGATGGTAAAATCTTAATTTTGTTGAGGCTTGTTAACTACATTTATTTTACTCAGTTCTGTTGCTTATATGAACTAGAAAACACAGATATGTATTAATTAAGGTCATTTAATCTTTTCGTTTTTGGTCAAACTTAATTAGTCATTTGAATGTTAAGCATCACTTGAAATTCATAAATATCCTTGGCTCGATCCCCGGCAAATGCCTACTTCTGGGGGATCCAACATTATGACGAAACATATTACCACTACTTTCTAGTTTTTAAGTAACTGTTTTACTATAATCATTCGAAGATGCAGTGCATGAAATTCGATAATCAGTATAAACGCTCTATACTGAATACATTTGAATATGTAATGAAAGCTATCAGTTTTATTTCTGTCTAAGATACATTTCAATGAGAAAATCTTATGTACATTAAAGTAATAAGGGTGATGTAATTATGATAAATTATAGTTGGTTCATGTAAATCTATTCGACACAGAAAACACTAAAAATATTATTTTAAAAACAAGAATAAATAGTTATATAGGCATAGTGATATATACACCCCCTCTTTCACTCTCGTTTCATTCACTACCCGTCTTGCATTCAACTTTAAGTGTAAAAAAAATAAGAAGGCTAGTGAATTGCTTAGTAAATCACTGAATGACTGATTGAAATGTAAAACGATGCTAGAATACTAGGATCATTATGATTGACAATGAAAAAGAGTATCATGATTGACATCCAAGTGTATATTTTTTCGGACAAATTACTTTCATATATATATATATAGTTTATGCACGCGATTATGATTATTCTGTCGTTGTAAGCATTTGTAGATTTTCAAAAAGAAAATCAGTACGTATATGCTTATGTTTATAAGTATATAGATTGTATATTTATGTAAGTGCTGATAGAAAAGTAAAGTATCAAATAATGGACAAAATAGTAATCCGTATACTAGATACAGGGTAAACTATACACACCCCTACATTTGTACACGTACAAACATACATGAAAATAATTTTTTCTTTTAAAAAATGCGTAACTTTCGATAAGCAGACAAAAGAAAATCATAAAACGAAAAACAAAAATTTTTTTCTTTTCACTTTCTTCAATATCTCTCAATAGAAAATGCTATTCGGTTTGAAAATCATAGAAAATTAGTTAATGCTTTTTTCGTTGTTTGGAATATCCATTTACATTAAGACTGTCTTGAGTTGAATAAATAAATAAAATGCTGTCTAAATATAGTAATTTATGGCGTATACCTTCATTATTGTTATAATCCAGTCTTGGATTATTAGTCCTCACCTTCTTGTTTTCTTTTTTTAAACAAAGAAGTATACTGTAATTAGTAAACGTTGTCATAGTTACTTGTGTAGCGCAATAGTTATAATATTATATAACGCTTGTAGTAGATGAACACTAATGTTTTTCATCTATGAGCTGGCTTTGTAACACAGAAGGTTAGATAGGTTAAATATAAATCAAGAAATTATCCATTTTTATTTGAGAAAATTATCCATTGAAATACTGTACTGATCTTATATGTTGCATGT